CTCCATTGTATGCTCTTGCCTCCTTTGTCAAATATTAATTGAGCATAATGGCTTTGGTCAATTTCTTGGTCCTCTATTCTGTTCCATTGGTCTATATGTCTGTTCTTATGCCAGTACCAGGCAGTTTTGAGAACAGTGGCTTTGTAATATAGCTTGATATTTGGTATTGTGATCCCTCCAGCTTTCTTCTTCTCTCTCAGGACTTCTGTGGCTATTCGGGGTCTTTTTTTTATTCCAGATGAATTTTTGGAGAGTTTGTTCTAGGTCTGTGAAATATGCTGTTGTTGTCGATCTCTCCCTTAAAGTCCTCTAGAAATATTTGAATATATTTAGGTGCTCCTATATTGGGTGCATATATGTTTACCAGGGTTATATCCTCTTGTTGGATCGTTCCCTTTAGTATTATGTAGTGACCTTTGTTGTCTCTTGTTATGGCCTTCATTTTAGAGTCTATTTCATCAGATATGAGTATTGCTACTCCAGCTTTTTTTTCTTTTCCATTTGCATGGAAATTATTTTTCCATCCCTTCACTCTCATCCTCTGTGTGTCTTTTGTTCTAAGGTGGGTCTCTTGTAGACAGCACATAGTTGGGTCACGTTTTTTTTTATCCATTCAGCTACCCTATGCCTTTTGATTGGAGCATTTAATCCTATGGTTAGGGTTATTATTGATAGGTACTTATTTATAGCCATTTTAATTCTGTATGCTTAGGTTTTTCTGTTTCTTCTTATTACAGCAGTCTCTTTACCATTTCTTGCAATGCTGGCTTGGTGATGATGTACTCCTTTAGCCTTCTTTTGTCTGGGAAGCTCTTTATTTGACTATTTTGAATGATAGCCTTGGTGGATATAGTAATCTTGGTTTCAGATCCTTCCTTTCCATTACCTTGAGTACTTCATGCCATTCCCTTCTGGCCTGTAGAATTTCTGATGAGAAATCAGGTGTCAGCCTTATGGGAGCTCCTTTGTAGATAACAGTTTCTTTTCTCTTGCTTCCTTTAAGATTCTTTGTCTTTAATTTTTTGCATTTTAATTATGATGTGTCTTGGCATAGGCCTGTTCGGGTTCTTCTTGCTGGGGATTCTCTGTGCCTCTTGGACTTGTGTGACTTTTTCCGTTACCAGGTTAGGGACGTTTTTTGCCATTATTTTTTCAAACACCTCCTCTATTCCTTTCTCCCTTTCTGCTTCTTCTGGCACACCTGCAATTCTAATATTGTTACATTTCATGTTGTTCCCCAGCTCCCTTAAGCTGTCCTGATTTTTAATTGTTTTTGGGGTTTTTTTTTTTTGGTTCTCTAATTGAGTGATATTTTCAGCTCTGTCTTCTAATTCACTGATTCAATCCTCAGCTTCCCCTAATCTGCTGTGTATTCCTTCCAATGTGTTCTTTATTTGTGTTATGTCATTCTTTATTTCAGACTGGATTTTTTCCATAGTTACTATATCTTTTTTCATGCTATTCAGCATCCTTACCATCATTACTCTGAACTCTATTTTAGATAAATTTCTTATGTCTGCTTCATTTATCTCTTTTTCTGGAGAATTCTCTAGTTCTTTCATTTGGGGGTTGTTTCTTTGTTTCCTCATTTTGGTTGTCTGTTTGGGTTTGTGACTATATATGCCTGGAGGCAGATTGTTACTTTTAATCTCTTATGTGGCCTCAGGGCAAGGTGTTTTCCAATAGGGTGTGTCAACATGGCCAGGCAGATGTCTATGTGGGAAAGATGTCTTCTGCTGTGTGAGGGAATGGCTCAGCCCAGGAAACTTGGGGTGTCTGCCTTCTAAGCTCTATTCCCCAAGTCCCTAGTCCTGGATTCTGCTCTCACAGCTCCAGTCCACTTCACCCTCCCTCTGCCAGTACACAAGGTGGGTGGCTCCATAGGGAATTTCGTGTGCTGGCCCTTTAAGAGGGTGCCTGAAGCTTCAGCTGCCACTCCCTGGCAGACAGCACCCCACTGCTTTTTTCAGCCAGGTGTTATGTGGGTACCCTCCTCAGTTCTGGTGCTCTCTGCTGGGGAGCCCACCTCAGGGATTAGATCCCCGAGTTCTCAGTGGCAGCCCCCACAGCTGAGATACCTCTCCAGGACTCCAGTTGTGGTCTGTGGCGCCCGGCCAGCCCTTCCGCGCCTCTGCCTCTCCTACCAGCCTCTATGTGGTCTCCACTTTCAGTCCTTGGGTATCAGGGTTCTCTCCTACGAGTTTTTCAATGGTTATTCAGGAAGTTTTTCTGTATTTTAGTTGTAATTCCAGCTTGTTCCTGGGAGCATGTCCATGCAGCATCCACTTACTCTGCTGCCATTTTTAATCCTACTTTCTATATTCTTTATTCTTTTACTAGTAATTTTCACCCGAGAATATCTTTATTGATTTTAGAGAAAGAGAGAAACAGCGATGTAAGAGAGAAATATTGATTGGTTACCTCTTGTATGCACCCCAACTAGGGATTCAACCCACAACCTAGGTCTGTGCCTGGACTGGGAATCAAACCCACAACCTTTGATTCACAGGACGACGCTCCAATCCACTGAGCTATCTGGCTAGGACACTTCCTACATTCATTAAAGGGCTGCAGGGTTCCGTGGATAGTTCTATATAAGGAGGATGGACATTACAGTTGCGTTCCTGTTTGTACAGGGTCCTCAGAGAAGCAGACGCGAGGTTATGGGAGATAGAGTGCATTCGCTGCTTGGCTCTTCTCTGAGGTCACAGGCCTCTGAGCCGTGACAGGCCTCTTCTCAGCCATGACGTCTCGCTTCTTTCTCTGTAGCTCCGACAAGTCCCTGCTGCTGGACTGTGGGGAAGGTACGTTTGGGCAGCTGTGTCGTCACTACGGCGATGAGGTGGACAGGGTCTTGGGCAGCCTTGCTGCTGTGTTCGTGTCCCACCTGCATGCGGATCACCACACGGTGAGTGCTGGGCCGGACCCCAGGGCCCCACCTGAGGCAGCTGTGGGCTTGCTCTCCTCCATCCCAAACTTGCCCACTGCCCTGGCTCTTCGCCTCTTGCGAGGTAACAGTCGTTCACACAACCCAGCTCAGTAATTCTGCCCATAAGGATGCTGGTCTGTTCGCCTGCTGTCATGTTCCAGTAGGGGTCTGCCTTCCCACATGCCTGCGGAGGAAACTGCAGCCAGAGGGGCGGGGCTTGGCCTCCTGGGGCAGCTGGGTCTCCAGCCACTGCTCTGTCTTGGGTCAGCATGTGCTGGCTCCCAGCGACAGCAGTGTTAGAGGCTGGTGGCCAGTAGAGGGCGAGGATCCCAACCCGGGCCGAGGCTGCTGGTGTCTCATCTCACCTGCATCTCCTTTCCCCTTCCAGGGCTTGTTAAATATCTTGCTGCAGAGAGAACGCGCTTTGGTGAGTGCAGCGCTTGACCTATTGCCACTTTGGGTTTGCTGGGGTTACACCCAGGCCTCCTGCGATGCCTGCCTTTGGTTGAGCTCTGACTTTGTTGTTCCAGGCATCGCTCGGAAAGCCCTTCTATCCTTTGCTGGTGGTTGCCCCAACCCAGCTCCGGGCCTGGCTCCAGCAGTACCACAACCAGTGCCAGCTGCTCCTGCACCACGTCAGGTGAGCTCCCTGCAGCCCGCCCCGAGGCTGTCGCCTCCCCTCCACAGCTCAGGGCTGACCCGGGGCAGGTCAGGATACCCCGCAACCTTCCCCTGACGTGGCCCAGTGGCAGAAGCAGGGAGAAAGCTTTGACTCAGGGCAAAACCACTAGCTGGCTTCACTTAGATGTCTGTCTTCTTGGCTGCGTTTCCTCGCAGCCTCATTTCAGCTACGTTCTAGTTTCTAGACTTTTGCCAACACCTCTTGGTAAAACAGTTGCAGGGCCACATGCCCGAGTTGTGAGCGCAGAGACTGCCCCGCCAGGGGATGCATGGTGGGAGTTGGCCCTATCCCCACCTCGTGGGAAGGAGTCCGTCTGCCTGGGCCCAGCCATGGCCGCTTGGGCAGGGCCTGCAATGCCTTCGCTGTGGGCAGCTCACCCGGTAGGTTTCTCAGTGGCCTGGGGTTTGGTTTGTTCTAATTGACGACCTTTCTCAGTCTCACTGACTGTGATTTAAATTGTGTTTCTTTACAATGATTGTGGGGTTTCCCAAATTCTTAACCTTTGATTCAAGTTAAATTAGTTTTAATGTTTTCTTTCTCACAGTGTGATCCCTGCCAAATGCCTTCAGAAAGGAGCTGAGGTCTCCAGTCCCACACTTGAGAGCTGGATTGGCTCACTGCTGAGAGCCTGTGATCTGGAGGAGGTACGGGGCGGCCGCAGGGGGCGGGGGGCGTCTGGCGATGGGGGGCACCACTGCAGCCATGCCCTGCCCTCCAGTTTCAGGTCTGCCAGGTCCGGCACTGCAAGCATGCTTATGGCTGTGCGCTGGTCCACACGTCCGGCTGGAAGCTGGTCTACTCCGGGGACACCATGCCCTGCGAGGCTCTGGTCCAGATGGGTGAGTAGAGGCACTAACAGCTTGGTGCTCATCCGAGCGTCCACACAGGGCACAGGGTCAGGGCATGGAGTGTGGGCAGGAATCCGGGGCCGAGTGCTTGTCCAGCACAGGACCCTGCCCCACGCCCATGCTTCCTTTAGGGCAGCGATGGCAAACCTGTGACACACAAACTCATTTTTTGGTTGATTTTTCTTTGTTAAATGGCATTTAAATATATAAAATAAATATCAAAAATATAAGTCTTTGTTTTACTGTGGTTGCAAATATCAAAAAATTTCTTTATGTGACGGCACCAGAGTTAAGTTAGGGTTTTTCAAAATGCTGACACGCTGAGCTCAAAAGGTTTGCCATCACTGGGCCATAAATGAGTG